AGCCATGAATTTTGATCATGTTTGAACAGTTATTAATAGGCACAAACTCCCCTGTATTTTTTAAAATCATTTTCAGAAAAAGCCTTGTATCTTAAAGTTTTCATTTTTTCTGTAACCCATTCATAATGTTTTTATCAGTTGTACATTCCTAAAACTCCCTAGTTATATGTTATCAAAGGTGGAGAAAGAATATATAACTTCTTACTGTACAAAATACTATAAAAAGTGCACCACAAGAAAACAGTTAAATGGATCTTGTTCAGCTGTTTCCAGGCCACTCATCAAAGAAAAAAAACCCCCTATGTTACAAATATGTTTTTAAACATATTTTTCCCCCTCACCTTTTTTTAGTATAGCAGATTTCATTACTGCATGGCAGGATGATTCACACATTCCTGATCCACAAATTCCTAGACTTTATTCTTACACCTGGAATCATGCTTAGGAGCTAGATTGTTGTAACTGCATGGAAGAGGCATCCTAAACCAGTCATATCTTATATACCCTACAAAAGATACCTAAAGAAGTACCTGCTTTCCTTAAGGGGGCCCCCTGGTAATTTTTATCCCTCCTTTCCTGGCAGCCCTTGACCAAAGGGGTGTGGGGAAGGCTGGAGGATCAGTGCCTTGGTGTGCACTGGACCTCCCTGGGGACATGAGAGACTGTCCCCTACTCACAGCTCAGCAGGGAAGAGGGGAGGTGATGGTGAGGAGTGTCCTGACTGACTATCTAGAGCATGGAGGTGGCCAAGATGGATGTTTCTGTGGAGAACAGGCTCACAGTCTGTAATTCTGGCTGTGTTTGTCAAGGGCAAAGGGTAATTATCTTGCACAAGCTGTTTAGTCTCACACTTATCTATAGTGTACTGGTCCTATCTTCTGATTCCTTGGGAAGCTTCTCTTCATCAGCAGGGCTTTCAGCTCATTTATTTGAAGTCTGCTTTCTAAAACACTACAAGTGTGCTTCACAAGTCAAAGACCATCTTCTCTGCTTTCAGCAACTCCATATTGTACCGTAGCTTCGTATTATGCAATCAGTAATTTAACAGGAAATTTCTACTTAAAAGATTATTAAAGTGAAGATATTAAGTTCTTAAACATTAACAAAAGGAAAAAATTGCACAATGAATTCTACATCTATTACCTCAAAATGCCATGAGTTAGGAAGATGAGATATTCTACCTTGGAGTCCAATTGATCCCTTCAATTCCCTTGCCTGTGGAGATGCCCAGAGCCCGAATCTCAGAGAAAGAGAGTCAAACCCTGCCAGAAAGAGATCTTATCCTTCTGTCTACCATTTAGAAACTTACCATTTAGAAACTAGTCTTAGCTCTCATGCTTGAGATTTAGCATCCCCAAATTGTATCATATTGGAAAGGAAGTTTTGCCCTTTCCTCATTCATTCTTTCCCAAAGTTACTTGTGCTTGAGGCGGTACAAATCAGTGACATTGATTGATGAAAGAGTTAATATTGGTGGCAATCTGATAGAAGAAAACCAGTGGAGAGGCTTAGCTTGCCATCTGGAGCAGATAACTTTAAAACAGCCTGAGACATGGGATTGAAGATGAAGTAACTGGAATAAGAAACACACTTCCTCACTTTTTTCAGTGCAGCAATCTGAAGGCATTGCAGCTGAGCAACTTCTGGCAGCATCCCTGCACATCTGCAGCATTCATTGAAAAGAAGTAAACAGCCATCAGTGAGCTGGAAAGACTGTTTTCCTTACTGACCCCCTGCAGCAAATCTGTCCCAAGCTCAAAGGAGAAAAAAATCTGATGTATATTTTCCTAGGAGTTGTCTGCATCTGTATTCATTATTCTTTAATATGTTAGTGTGTTATGCTTAGTATGTTTGGCTTACTACAACCAGTTAATGCTCTATTGACTAAAAAATACAGTAGCTTGACAAATTCTCAGAAATTAACTTATTTGAGAAGGAAGGACAGAAAGATTCAGAAAAAGGGGAAGTGGTTCAAGACAGTGCGTATTCAGTCCTCTTTTCAAAAACTTCTTCCCCAAAATGAGAATTTCTGGAGAATGCCTCTCTCCTTCCCTCCTTCTGCTGATCTCTTCCTTCCTTGAACCAAACTACAGGCTCTGGGAACAAGGCAGCTAATAATAAACTCCTCAGCTGAACTCTAGGAAAGCAGCTTGGTCAAGGCTTTGCCTGCCAAATGCTGACCAGCACATGTTCCCAGCTGCCAGCAGTGACTGACTGCTAGCCACGTTTTTTAAACCAGTTATACTTTAGCCTTCTGCTCCTTAGAGAACATTTTGCTCCAAACAAGACCTCCCAATTCCAAATGATGGAGTCAAAGGTACTTGACTCATGGTCCATGTGCTATGTCTCATGTCTATGGAGTATACAGAGACTTCTCCAGTCATAATATATTAACACAACTGCTCTTGCACTGTGACTCCTGAATCAAAAACCCCAATACTGTTTTTATCCCTGTACACCAAAAGGCTGTACAGAACGGCGCTGGCATTTCTAGAGTGTCAGCCAGCAGACAGACAGCACTTCTTTCAAAATTACCTTTTATAAAGGTTTGTGTAATAAAACTTGCCATCTGGAGCAGGTTCTTGCCTTGGGATTCCCCCTTATTGCTTTCTTTTACCAGGAAGGACACAGGGCCAAGAGGGAACACCAAGACAGCACTTCCTATTGGTCAGGCAGGAGCTCAGCTGCATTTTGGCCCCAAGAGCAACCTCTGGTGCTTCACTTGAAATGCTGACCCAGCTGTCCACTGAGTTTGCAGTCTTTAAAAGTCGTGCAGGTCACCTTTCTGTCTGGGGGAACCCAGAGCCAGGTGAGGAAGCAGCCAGCCCTGCTGAAGGCATGAGGCTCCCGCTCTCTCCAGAGGCTGCTCAGAGGCTGCCTGGAAATGCAGCAGAGACTGTAGAGGTGGGAACTCACTGAGTCAGGTTTTCTGAAGAACGGGAAATAAACCCTTTAAGGGACATAAAAGCATGAGCACCATCAAAGAGCATTTATGCTGGTGCAGGGAGGTGTGGAAACCAAGCCAGCCTAGCTCCTCCCCGAGCTGCCCTGTGATGCTGGATCAGGAGAGTATGGGAGGAAGTTTGGGCTCCAAAATAGTATGGACAAAGGCGGCTCCTTGGATTGGCACCCTACTGAATTACACAGTTCTCACCAGTGCCAATGCTATGGCTTCATGATCCCATTCCCCCTATAGTCAAGGCTCTTCTGTACTGCAGATATTTGGGATACCTTCCTGACCACAGCAATGTTGTTTTCCTGAGGCATAAGGCACTTATGGGTGGTTCCTAAGGGTGGAACCACCCTGACTCCTCCTCTTGTGGTGAAATCTCCTCCTATCACTTCCAGGCTGCAAGTCCTCTCCTCTCTACATGCTGCCCCACCAAGCACAACAGCACAAGCACCATTTCTGGAAATGGTCTGTATTTCTAAGGGGAGAAATAACTCACCTTGGTAGCATCACAATACCCAGGAGAAAGAAAGAAAAAAATGACAGCAAGTTAGTAGGCAAAAATCCCATCACGTCACAACAGCGGATTTACTATTGGGACAGTAAGGATAATGGAGTACTCACGCCTCCCTAAAATCTTGTTGACTGCAAGAGTGCTGACCAGGGATAGCTAGGTAGAGGATGACACCAAAGGAACCTATTTTTATAGCTGTTAATGAATACCAATATTTTTTATCGATTTGGAGGTGACAGAAATGAACAGTTAGCATTTCTTCCTATTTCTCAAGATTTGTTTTGCTTTTTTGCTATTCCAGAGCTTAATGCATAACAACAACAACAAAAAAGAAACAAACAAAAGGAAAACAACAAACAAAAAAGGAAAAAAAACCCCTGTGTGCAGCCTTATGGAAGACTTTCCAAGCCACAGATGGTGGCTCTGTGGTTGGCTGATCTATCCAAAATAAAGCTCAACAGCAGGGAGCAATGGTGTAGTTCAGGGGGTAGAAAAGGTCATGTGAGTGTGATCCTCACCTTCCAAAATCCTCATCTCCTTATGCTGTCTCCCCCCTTCTCCTTTTGGGATGGAAGGAATTTTTTAGTTACTTTTCATTTTTATTTTCAGCCTGCCTTTTCTATCCACTTGCCAACTGGGGTCATTGAAAGTGACTCGTGCTGCAGCTACTTTCCCAGGACAGGAAAAATGAGGTGAACTATTATTCTGATGGTTTATAGGTGAAAAGGCACCAGCAGCTTTGAAGAATAGCCCCTTTTGCTGTGCCAAGACAGAGCTGGCACTTTGGGAGCTCAGAGGCCACCATGTCACCTTCCCCTTGCCACAGGGACAGGCATGCTCCTGCCCTGGGTGAAACTGTTGACTGCAGAGACTGAAATGTTTTCCCAACAGAAAGAGATCACAAGAGCCTTGAAAACAGGGGTCTTGAAGGCTGCTAACCCCTGTGCACAGATGTGTGGTACTACCCTCCTCGCATGAGAAGGGTGAACCATTTTGGGTGAACAAACATAAAAAAAAGAGGACAGTGGAAAAAGGAAAGAAAGTGAGCAACCTCATTTTAATAATTTTTGACATCAGAATGCATTCATACCATATACTTTTCCTTTGAGAGGAGTGCACAGCCTGTGTCGTGGCTCAGCTGCCAGTACAACTGAGCCATGTCTACAGGAGATGCCATGAAACCACTCTGGGGAAAACCTACAAACTCTGCTGCACATCAGTCTGGAGGCTGGAGCTGGGCACAGGACACATAAGTGGATGGCCCCTTTTTTTCACAGCCAGCACATTCATTTCTCTTCAGGTGTGTGCTTCAATTTCCTAATGAAAGAACTATTTCGGAAGCCTTATGTTTGCCAAGAAAATAAACCAAGTCTAAACATCACACCTTCCTCTGGGAGGACATTGGATGTGGATGATGGGATTGTACTTGTATGTTCCGATGCTGCCAGCAAGAAAGATTTTCATTGCAAGTGTTTGATTTACCCTAAGCACTATGCAAAAGCAAGCTGAAAGACTGTTTTTGGTAAGGTCACTTACCAAACCTCTTGTAGCCGAAGGACTGCACCTCCTCCTCCTCTGCAAAGTCGTCTGGGGAAAGAAAGACACAGCAGCAGATTATTACTACTACCACTGGAAAAAGATGAGAAAAAGTTTTTACAGGTGCATGTCCAAGTAATGTAAGTTGACTTGGTTTGTTAGGCATGCTACTGCTCTTCCCCTCTGCTGCTTCTATCCCACCTCTGTCTCCAATTTCAGAAGGCAATTCAGAGCCTTTCCCCCAGGGAGAATCCCCAGCAGAACTCCAGATTACAAACAGTGCAGATTTATCACTGGCAGCCATCCTGAGGCCTGCTTGGCCAGCTAAGTGCAGACCAGAGCAGATATGTCCCCCATCACAATGACAGCCACAATTGTCACCAGTGTGCCACCTGATCAAGCTTGCCTGGGCCACAGGAGTCAGACGGGATGGTTGTCCATCCGTCCACCACCTCCCATGCACACTATCTTGGCCTGAAAATCTCAGATCCGATAAAACATGGGAAACAGAACTAGAAACTCAGATGAGAAAAATAAAAACTGAGGTGGTGAAGATTGTGAAAGGTCTATAGGGGAATGGCTGAGGTCACTTGGTTTGCTCAGCCTGATAAAGAGGAGACTGTGGGGACACCTCGCGACAATCTACAACTTCCTTGTGAGGGGAAGTGGAGGGACAAACACTGATAATGGGAGCTGGGGGAAGGGAAGTTGTGGGGAGGTTTAGGTTGGCTTTAGGAGAATATCAGGCTCCCCAGGGAAGTGGTCACAGCCTGCCTGAGTTCTAGAAGTGTTAGGACAATGTGTTCACATACATTGTGTGATTCTTAGGGCTGGCCTGTGCAGGGACAGGAGCTGGATTTGATGATCCTTGAGGGTCCCTTCCAGGGGCTGGCCTGTGCAGGGACAGGAGATGGATTTGATGATCCTTGAGGGTCCCTTCCAACTGAGGATCTTCTATCATTTGATGATTCCATCTTGCCTTTTATTCTCATCTTTACAAGCAAGCAGTAGTATGCTAATAATCACAAGGTTATTTTCTCTCCATTTCCTTCCGTCAGCAAAGGAAAAGACTGGCATCAGCAAAAAAAATACACCCATGACTTTTTTTAAAAAAAGAATATGTTTGAGTTCATGTGTTCAGCCTCCTTCCACCAAGCAACCCTTCATTCTGCTGAGCCAGGAAAGGCAAAAGCTCTGCCTTGTCACCAGCATCAACCTCTGCATCAACTGCTAGGAGGACAGCACAGCCCAGGCTGCTCTTCTCCCGCCTCTGTATTTCCCAGAGGGAACATTTAATGCCTGGTGGAGGAAAAGCAGGCTGAAAGCAGATAAATACGTGTGATGGAGTGAGAAGTCTGTGTTTAGTTAGATCTTTTTTGTCCACAGACTTACTGCACATGACTGGGCTGCTCTGCATCACGAAGTTGGGCTAACTAGCTGAAAGCAGATAAATATGTGTGATGGAGTGAGAAGTCCGTGTTTAGTTAGATCTTTTTGTCCACAAACTTACTGCACATGACTGGGCTGCTCTGCATCACGAAGTTGGGCTAACTGGTGCCACAGCTAACTTGGGACAGCACAGAGCCTTGGGGGGATAAATTCAAAGGGGGCAAAGATACAGTCTGCATCCAGGCTCAACAAAGCAAAAGATTTGTGTGCATGTATCCAGCAGGAAATCAGACTTGTTCTTCCTTCTGACCTGTGAAGTGCCACACAGAGAAATCTCTGAAGGAGACTTTGCCTGAAGCAGCAGCAGAGTCCATGAAATGCATAATTTTGCAGAACATCACCCTTTACTCAGACAGCACAATTGATTAAACAGCTCAAAACATATTCTTCACCAGGTAGAGACATTTTGCTTACTCCCAGCAGCACTCCTGTCCATATCTTTAGCTAGACCCTCAATTCAGATGTGCACTTAAGAAGTGGAAGAGTCAGCAGATGCTCCTTAGGCAAAACAAACACATCCTGGTTTTGAAGACAGAAAGAAACCTTCAAAAAACCAAGCCAAACAAACCCTCACAATTGTCCCAAATGTTATCTGAAGACAAGGCCCCCCAACCAAACGTGACAAATACCAATAAACCATAAACAGTCAAAACCCAACATCTCATCCCAGCAGTGAGCTACTCAGGAAAGATCTTCCCCTTTTGCACAAAAGATAAAATGCTGCACAAAATAAGATAACAGCTCCAGAGACCTTAGCTTCCTGCCCTCTCCTGCTATCAGGCTGCAACAGAATCACCTCCTTTGTTTCTCAGGAGTGTAACGTGACTTATCCGATCTGGAGCTCATGTGAACAGCCAGGCCACCTTTAAATCCTGCAGCTTCATCCCACACCACATCTCCAAGTCCTTCCTCCCAGGCTGACAGCTCCTTCCCTAGTTTTCTTGTTTTTCATGCTTAAACCAACAACATTGGCTTTTACAGTTTTAATCACATTTCTGTTTCTTTGGCCATTTCAGTATATGCAACATGTTTATATATGTACATATTATACATTTCTATGCACACATATACTTTTTAAATATATATATATGCATATATGCTTTTCAGTATTTGCAATGCTGCATGTTATTCTTTCTAGCGATGGGGTTTTTCCTTAAGCTTTGGTTACATTATAATTATTCATTCACCTCCTCATTTTGAAGAGCACTTGTGATATTTGAAACAAAGAAGTGGAGATGGGCAAGGACAGTTATGTTAAGTGGTGATTTGTCTTCCTGATCAGTAAAATCTCAAACATCATCTCTGTGAGTTAATCTTGTAAGGGACAGTCAATGTAATTTTAGGGGAAGTCTATAAAAAATATTTGACAAAGTTCAATGTTCTCTCAGTGACAACCGAAACTCTGCTGAAATCATGTGCAAATATAGTACTTTAAAATATTAACTGTAATGTAACAAGTTTAAGGAAAAAAAAAAAGATGGAGGAAATTAATGAAGCAAGCTTAGACTAAACATTCAGAAATTACAACACTTTGGAAAAAGAGACTAAGATGGGTTGAAATTCCTACCTCAGAAGAAGTCTATGTTTGAAATATTAAAAATTAAGCTGACAAACAAGCCTATAAAGTTTAGTCCCAAGGCAAAGCCCTGCACCCAGCCTGCTCCTCCCATGTCTGTTGGGCAGTATTGTCCTCACTGGAGGCAGCAGAAAGTTGATCCTCAGCTCCCTGTTTCAGTGCTGGAAATATTAAAATTTTGCCACAAGTTCTACAAAAATCTCAAAGCTTCCAGATATCTTCAAATCAGCAAAATACAGGAGAACCTAAGTTTTCATTTAAAAGGTAACAGCTTTTCTAGTGAAAACTATGAAAATGTGATCTGTTATGAATTACAGAGGTTAAGAAAATATACACCAAGTAAGAAGCCAAATACTATGAACACCTCCGGTACGTTTTAATGACTTATGCGTTTAAAGACAATATCAGAAATTGTGGCAGAAATTCATGAGCTTTGACTTTTCTGCACTGATCTTAGAAATAGAAATTCTGCATTTTCACATCAGCAGTGCCCACACTTGAGTGAGGCTGTGGCAGAAATTCATGAGCTTTGAGCACCAGTGACTGATCTTAGAAATAGAAATTCTGCATTTTCACATCAGCGGTGCCCACACTTGAGTGAGGCTGCAACTGGTGTAGGAGGGGTTTGTTGGACACTGTGAAAGCCTTAAGTTAGAAAGATTTTTCTTTAGTTTAAATCCAGTCCTCAGTTACAAAGGGGACTGGAATGAACACATTATTTCTGTTTCATTAATATGCAGGCAAGGCTTATTTTCATAGGTGAAAAATATGAAGGGCAGACTCCTCCTTAAAGCAGACAATCAAGTAGAATTTGTTGTTATGTCCTGGTCACAAGAATTAACTCTTTAGTACAGGGAAGACCAGCCCTAACTCAATTATAAGACACGCAGCTGTGAACCAAAATCCAGAATAAGAAAGGTGAAGAAACATGACAATCTAGTCTCTTATTCCACTGACTTGCACAGAACTCTGGCAGCAGGAAGGTTCATAAAAAAAGTGAACTTTTGGCAGAATAGAAACATATGTGAGCAACCAGTTATATTTAACCATGTAAGGGAAGGGCCACCAGAGATCTCCTGTTTTATTGAGTTTACAAGAGCCTCCTTGGATGCTAGAACAGATTGTCATGGGGAGCTTACAGCAAACTGCTACAAATCACTGTCTCACTGTGGCTGAACAGCAATACATCAAATTTTTAAGGAGTCACTGCAAAAGTAAGAGTTGTGGTCCAAAAAAGTGAAAAAAACCCCTTTGAGCTATTTTGGCAATATCCATGCCCTATTGAGCACCAAAGCCAAATTCCACTTGCCCTCCAGTTATAAGGTATTACTGCAACACCTCTAGTAAATACAGTTGTAGAGTTAAATAAGTTACAGTACAATGCTTCAAGGGAGTGGGAATCATGAAAAGGCAGTTCAGCTGGGGATTAGCGCAGCGAACAGAGGGAATTCATTTAATCTAAAACAAATTAGACTCTCATTTGATTAATTTGCTAGTGGCAAAGCAAATCTGTGGAGTAGAACTGTTTAATTTCTTGTTCTTAAACCTTAAATAAATTAATCATGGATCACTTATGAGTCACTCTGAGGTCAAGTAAGAAAGAGCTGGCCTGGAGCCAAAATGGATGCTAAATCTGCCCCTGAGACAATACAGGGCATAAAACCACAGCACCAGATCTGAGGAGCCTTTTGTGCAAGGTGATTTTAGAGAAGTTGTTTCCATTTTAGCCCCTTCCTTTCATGGGTGTCATTGTTGGCATGTGGAAGGTGTTAAAGAAAGCTGCTAATGTACGTGTCCAGCTGTCTCCTTTTAACAGTACACCTTGCTCAGCCATTTAAACCTAATTAACTAACGAGGCAAACAAGACCTCAGAACCATTAGAGATGCTGGGTCATATGGTGGCTGCAGACACGTGGTATCCAATAATTTAGAGAGCACTTGTGTGCTGCAAACATGGATCCAAAGTCCTTGTTTAAAAACCTCGCCTGAAGTCTTAAATAAAGAAAACAAACCAATATTCTACATT